TAACACTAAGGAGTACTGAGCCGAGTGTTCAGAAACCTCAATCAGGAGCAAAAGCCAATGAGCCTTCATACTTTCCAAATATTTCCCAAATCAGACCTGCAGATGCTCGGTCTGAGCCAGAGGCTGTTAATGGCAACGAGTATGATAGTGCTAAGGACATAAACAAACTAGCTTTCAAGAGGGACCCTCCTGTCGCAAGAGGTCCATATTATAGTACACAAGTTGAGTAAGTACCTACCAAAACCCAAGTCCTTCGACCTATTCTAATATCCAGCCAGTGTGATTGCTGTGCCTGCCATTGGAGGCCACCCTGAAAAGACATGGGCTTCAAAGCTGTGTTTTCGCCAGAAGAGCCCGGGGCCACTTCAACACCAAGCGAAATACAGAAGGCCATCATTAGAAGCATACCAATGTCTCCAGGATACTCTAGTCCTGCAGTAGCAATAACAAACACGCCACGGGCTGGAGGAGATATGACGGAACCAGCTTGGATAACTAGAGGCATAAGAGCTCGCGCTAATGAGGCTCGAGTCCTTCTGTATGATCATGGTGTGCCGAAGGAAGAAGATACTCTTAAGAGCTTTGCTACAAGATTACTCAAGAACATCGAAGACCTGCGGCGTATAGAGAACTCAACCCGCCCTATATTCTTCATTTGTCATTCTACTGGAGGTTTAGTTGTCAAGATGGCACTTGCAGAGGGTCACAGATCTAGGAGCACAATAATTGGGGACTGCTATGGAGTTACTTTTTTCGCTACACCCCATCGAGGCGTAAGTTGGTTTCACAACACTCAATTTTATCCTCCATCAAGCTCAATATATTTTGTGCTTTGATATGAGACCCGGAAGTGGACAAAATGTTATGGAAGCCAATCCAAACAAATCCTGCATTCCTATGTCTCACTTAGAATAGCGACTAACCTCAGTCCTACGATTATAGTCGTCACACTTAGCACGTCTAGATTTTGCTCAGAACATAAAGAATATCATGCGGCTATCAGCGCCACTTCCTGAAAGTATCTCTCGGCAGCTGCACCTGGATTCGGCTCTGCTGGTGCAACTTGATGCAGACTTCAAAAAGATTGCCACGGAGCTACGGATTTGGACCTTCTTCGAAACTGAAGATACAAATCTGACAACTGAATACCATGCACCCATCACGTCTATTAAGTCAGCCCTGCTGAATCTTCGACATGAAGTGGTTTACCCGCTCCTAAGTGACCATACTGCCTCGGCTGGATTTGGAAGCAAAAACTCACAAACAAGAGAAAGCTATTTAGGTGAACTCGCTGCAGCTATAGAGAAGGCTCTTGAATACAGCACAATCAAGCACACAGAAATGAATATTGATGGACGAGTTCAGGTAGAGGTTATAGGATTCTACGAGATGGCTGATAGTGTTGAAGTGCCAATAGAGGTATGGTCGACCAGCCGGTCCCTAAAAGACTTCAGAAAACACGGTCCCGCAAAATTGTTGAAGGACAGACTGTCAGAGATTAATTCTCCTCCTCGCGAGCGGCAGCACTTACGGCAAAACACGCGGGCACCAACCCTGCTTCATGATAAGCGCCGAGATGCCGGCCCAGCCGTGCCTATCTTCAAGTCAGACTCCTTTAATATTGTCAGTAAGACAAGTGACCCGGAGCTCAGGTCCCGGAGCAGTAGATTTCTTCGGAGCAGGAGCAGAAGTAGGAGCAGGGACAGAAGCTCTCAGGAAGCTAAGATCCCTCAGCATCTTTTATCTCCAAAGGAAACAACACCAATTGAGATGAAGCCAGTGCATCTTATACCTTCCATTGCCGTTGTAGCTGAGGGAGACTATCTCTCTCCTGAAAGCCCCAAACTACCGAGAGATAGATCGCGGGACAGAACCAACGTACGTGGTCGACGCCGAAGTAGCTTAGCTGCAATAAATACCACTCCAGTGACATTCATCAAGCCAGATGTGTCGAAACAAAAGCTGGTATGGCTCCACGTCCCATTTAATAATCCAGCTTGGGTTAGAGATGTTTTGACTACAATATCTGTTGATAAGGGTAGAGATTGTCACAGTAAGCTACTTAATGCAGAACATTGGGAGTCGAAGCATGTTAGAGGTCGACATGCAGAACATCATGCATGCTTTCTTAAGCCTGCCTGCTCTGTGGTTGGAGTAGATATCACTTCGCCAATGGCCTCTCCCAGACAGTACTTTGGGAAAGTTCCAGCTGAGCTTCAGATGTATCTTTACCTACCATACCTTCATTTTGATACATATAAACAGATTGTTAGGAGACGGACTCTCATTAAGCGACGCATCAAACAAGGGCGATCAAGGCCAGTCCCACAATCTATAGCAAAGCTTGATTCACTGGAGTTTAAAACAATCTGGCAATACCTTGGTCATGATCCTCCCATCAATTGCAGAAGAACTTTGGATCAATTTGGCTATCCTAGTCTGCTTGATACTAGAGCCCGCGATGATGATCAGATGCTTTATAAGATGACAAAGCAACGATTTGCCCATCATGATGATATATTTTCAGGTAACGCGGAAGAAAAGCAGAGGTTGGCCGAGATCCTGAAAGAAGCAGAGGAATTAAATTCCTCCAGTTCATCAAACTCATCATCTATTGACTCAGATGAGGAGCTTGAAGGTTTCGAAGATGAAGAGCAGAGTGAAGCCGATGAGAATGAAGATGATATTTTGGATGGGAAGGTATTGATGGTCGAGTAAGTGAGCGCCTTTTCATCATCTATGGAATAGAGTCAGGAGCCGTCAAACATAATGCACTTAGCTTTATGAGCATTTCCGTTTTTGTGCACTAAGACTTTTCCTGTTCGCTGACAAGGCGCACAGTCAGCTATGGCTATGGATTGTCGACACTGAGACCACAGTTTCATTCTTTCCCAAAAGGGATGATACCGGCATCGATGGCCGATTATTTCAACAAGCAGATCTCAGAAACAGTATATTCAACGAAGTTAACGCGGATCTCACCTCGCGATGCGAGAACTCATTTGACCTAGCTGCATTGATTGCTCTGCATGCTGTGACAGTTCTCTTCGAGCGATCTTCTCATCCCGACTTGGAGATATTCCGGACATTTGAAGAAGCAATAAGTATCCTCACAGAAAAGATGACCAATAGCTTCAAGAAATTTAGAGCTCGAGGTTTCCGCGACAAGGCTGATGAACATGATGAGCATCTTCGGGCTCACAATATCCGAGCGAAACATAAAAGAGAAGGCGAGTTGGCGGAGAAGCAGAATCGAGAAAATACTTCTGCTCTCCTGGAACTCAGAGATATCGAGGATGAATTACATACACTTGAAGAACTATTCGACGCTCAGAGAGACGAAATCTTAACAATGATACAGATTTATAAAAAGGAAGATTTAAGAGATTTAACTGCGAATGGCCTCCTGTTCTTGAATCAAGCCGAGGACTATCTGTCGGATTATAAACGTCATGTTCAGAGGATGATTGATGATGTAAGAGCAACAAGAGAGGATGTAAGAATATTTGTTCGATTGGTTGGAACGCGCTCACAAATTATTAGTTTGACAAACTCTTGCAAATGGTCCAAAGACAGGCCCAAGTTGATGAAGTTAGGCTACAACGCCTCCAAGCAGATCTTGCCAGCGCTCAAAGCCGATCAGTTATGATTTTCACTGTATGTATCCTGATTCAATGTTCTGGCCTTGATTAATACTTTACACAGGTATTCACAGTTATATTCGTAAGTTGCACTGGTTTCACCCAGAAAGATTTTGCACTGACCAATCTAGCTTCCTCTGACATTCTTTTGCGGACTGTTCGGCATGAATACAAGAGAATGGGGCGGGGGCGATTTCCTAACCCTTCGCACAATCGGCCTCATAACCCTCCCAACATCGTTCTTCATCATTCTCCTAACCTGCATAATTGCTTGGTCGTCCCGAATGCGGAAAGCCACAAACTATACCTACCGTCGGATCATCCGGCTCTCAAAATCCGTGCGGAAATCACTAACGACCTTCCTGTACCACATACCCGCTGCTGCGACTCTTGCTTCTAAAGACGCCCGCAAGAAGCTCATTGAAGAACGGAGAGCCGCACGGAAGCAGAAAAAAGAAGAGAAGAAGCAGGCGAGTATCTTTGAGGAGGATTTCTGGGAAAGCCATGTCGCGGCGAGAGATAAGGATTATACGGTGCCGCCGCAAAATCTAAAGAGTATTACGTTTGCGCGGAAAAAAGCGATAGAGGAGATGGAGCGGACTATGAGTGCAAGATGGGGACTTCTGGGGAAAACGGAGAGTAATATCCATGCGTACCGAGGTAGATAAAGTAAAAAATTCAGCCACTTTTATACAGGCGCTCAACAAGCTTAGACCATGGCCAGAGAGTGCTCTCCGTTTTGAGTAGAGATACGCCACCCTCACTTGGACAGCAGCCCGTAGTTATTGGTGTTCAGAAATATCTTTCTTATCTACAGCTTGAGTACTCTCTGATTCGAGATTCCTACATCGATCGTAACTGGCCAAAAGAAGAAATCATAAAACCCTTTCCCGCCCAATCCACGTCTATTCTATTCATATTTTCAAGTATCCTTATTTCAAAAGTTGTCTCGTCTTCAACAGGTCTCTAACTCGTGCCAACAAGACGAGTGGAGTCAGTCTCTCTCCATTCGCTTAATTTTTTTTCCCACTCACACAGACTACCGCACTTCCAGTTTAGCATACTAATCAAATGTAAATCTGCCACAATTACGCACAGATTTTGTAGCCATTAAATATAATGTAGATGGATGGCCTCTGTCATGCCTCATTCGATCAATGCTTCCTTTATTGCGGAAGTGAGTAAGTCCCATTTTGGTAGACAGGCTTGACTTTATATAGAATTGACCTATGAACACTGTAGCTGTCCCACCTCTGACCTGTGAACTTGGTCCCACTAAGCTAAAAATGAAAAGTAAAAAGGTGCAACGAGTAAAATAAAGTTGTTGCAGGCTTTCCTGCTTTCAAAAATTCCTGTCAGTGTCGGGTCTGGGAATCGAACCCAGATTGAAGGCGACCTGTCAGATTACTGCAAAGCAACGTCCACAAGCCCACGTGCTACCATTACACCAACCCGACGGTGTTGTTGAAAAATTGATTGGCTTAATTGACCATATTCATCAAACTTCAGCATATCTCGGAGGTTGAGGCCAGAGACTTTGCCGCCGCTCGCACTAGTAGCTGACTAGCGGAACACAACTCAGGTATGCTTCTAGTTTCTTACCAGGTGATAAATTGCTTCGAGTCCTAAGTATTCAAAAGCTCGAAAGAATACGGAAAGCGTTGTTGAAATATGGTTCAAGTCTACACTAGGTGGCGAACATTTTAATCTACATGTGACCCTCAACATTGCCAAGGCTGCGACAAAGTCCAGTTTGATAAAAGATGATGAGTACATCATAAATGGTATCAAATCCTTGGCACAAAGTATTCTATGTTAACCTCACTACCTGTCATTTTTGAATATACAGTGTCAATCATTTCTTTAGCATATGGAAATCCGCACCCAATCACTTATTTACCACCCCTCTGTAATCCATAGAAAACCAACCTGCTTCACACCCTTGTACTTAACTAATAGATTCTCTCTCAGTTAAAAAGTCTGGCCCATTAACTTGTATGCTCTGTTTCTTGAATGTGGTTCTTACGTCCGCTGTGTAACTCTATCAAGCTAATATTTCTCGATCACCATCCGCAACGGCATTACCAACCTCAAAAAATGCTGAGCCGCGTTCTTTCCATTCGTTTGGGTTAAGTAAAACTTGAGTATGGCGGTTCAGCATTATTGCCCAGCCAAAGTGGAAAGTGATTCCTGGTAGAAAGAGGAAGAATAGCTCGAGAGTGGCTCCTCAGAAAACAAAGCACATATATCAGATTTTGCCTTCACATTCCTGCATTCTAAGCCGAAGGAAATATTTCCGAGGTCAGAAAATAACAGGAACTGGATTCTCCAAGTCTCAACTGATTGATAAGTTGTCCAGCTCTTCTGGGGGCAGGCTTGGTACTAGCAATGACTTCGCCGGAGCAGAATCAACAGACACAGTCAGTGTACTTTTTGGGACTGATTCGGGAAAGCATATCACAGTAGCAGTGGGAACTTAGGCAGCTAATTCGATGTAAAAAGTTCTGTCATTATGCTCAAAACATTGTTAATTAGAAAATGCTGACCCGCAAATCTTCCTCCAAAGCTGGAGTTGATAATCGGGTTGTAGAGGACTTGGCTAACCTTTGGCTCCTTCCTTGTTGCTTGTCGACAGCTGATTCAGAGGCTGCGACGGTGTCTATTGGCCAAGTCAAAGACAAGCTGACACATCATAGGACAAAGAGCAGGTAAGGCTAACTGATGTATCTACCATCGGCTTTCTTGAAGAGAAAGTCGATACAATTGCAACACCAGCGCAGGGCTGACCGAAAACTAACCACCATAGCACTTGGATTTTAAACCACGTTTGCGTGGCTATTCCCGCGGTGGGTAAGCGTCACAGATAATATGCACTAACACAACTTAGAACGATCTATTACAAAATAGCTAGCCTTTGACTGAGATTTATGCTCTGTACGCCAATCAAGAATGATAATGCAAGGTAAAGGCCAGTCCTTCTAAAAATGGTATATCCATGAACACCCAAGCATCACCAGGCTAATATTTTCCAAGACACCGAACGCCTCTTTGCACAATAACTCCTGCAAATTTTATAATGGCCGACCATCCTTCAGCTTCTGACGCAGGTTATTTAGGTAGCCTTTTGGCCATGCCACTAGAAGCTCTGCATCTGTTGGAATCTTGTTCCCACACTTTGTCGCAACGTTCTGCAAAATTCTTCCCAGTAGCTCCTCCGTCATGGGAAAGGCGTCTTCGGAGAACTCCACGGGGTGTAGGAATGGATCTCGCTCGCTGAGGAGTTCGGTCGCGGATGGCCTCAGGTGCTGATCCCGATTTAAACACTTCTTCAGCGTCTTTATAAGCGCCCATGGTACAGGCACATTGCCAACACCGAGATTGGGGTACTCGATTTCGTAGTTCCAGTTGATGATGGCTTGACATCGGTGCATCTGGTTAGGTATATGGGCAAATGGGGCCCGACCGTACACCATCTGGTAAAGAATGCATCCCAAACTCCATATGTCACTAGGCTTGCCTAGCTTCATCAGCTTTACTTCGTTGTTGATTCTTCCTCGTGAGTCTGGTTTGGCGTTGGAATCCATCAGCGATTCTGGTGACATGTAGTTAGGTGTGCCAATCTGAGTGTCTCGGTGAACGTTAACAGTCTCATCTGTTTGAATTGCATTGGCAATTCCAAAATCGATCAGTTTTAGTGTTCCTTGACACAACACGAAATTATGCGGTTTCAAATCAGAGTGTACAATGTCATGCTCATGAATGGCTTGTAAGCACTCTAACATCTCTTTCCAATAATGCCGGACAAAGCTGGGATCGAATTTCGCCTGATCGGATTTCAGACGTAACTCCAACATCTTATTCATGTCCAACTCTCCCATTTCCATGAGCTAGTCGTTGTTAGCAAAATTTGAATCGGAATAAGTAAAAGTACGTACTACACTGAGAGTTCCCTTCTCTTCATTCAATTCATAATCGTATAGTCGAATGACTCGATCTACTCCTTCTAGCTTTCGAAGCAAATCAATTTCACCTTTAAAACCTCGAACAGCAGTCTCATCTGCATCGTCCAAAGAAACTCTCTTTAGAGCAAAGAATTTCGAATTCTCTGCCATCACACGATAGACCCTTGAGCTTCCACCCCTTCCTATGCAATCCAAACGAGTGAAATGCTTGCCATTAAGCTTTAACCTGTTCCGCTTGCCACTAGCATGGGATGTGGTAGCAGCTCCGGCAGTACTCGTTGCAGCATCGAGAATAGACATCTTTGGTGGTGGAGGCGCAGGCCTTCGAGGTGTATTTTGGCTTCTAGGTCCTAAGGGTCGTCGTTCAGGAGTCCTGGCACGTAAAGCATCCAAGTCCATACTCTCAGGGCGAATGGGTACTTTCTCTTTGGCATCAGTATGAATCAATGGTGGTTGCTTATTACGTTTAAAGGTTGGAGGAGCCTCATTCTCCTGGTCATGCGCTGAAGGTAGATCTGGTCGTGGTGGAATTTTGAATACCGGTTGTATTGGTTGTGAAACGGCTGATGCCTGAAAGCTTGATCGTGGTGAACCTGACTTGGAAGCACTTGAACCCCGGGAGCCAGACAGCGTGGGGGGTGGTGGTGATTTTGACCTTAGGACGGAACTCAACAAAGCCTTCGACTCCCTTGAAACTATTGGACTCCCAGACGCAAAGTCTCGGTAGGATGAATACATCGAAGCACGATTCGATCCCGGCTCCTGACTCGAGGGATATTCTCGTTCCTGTGATTCTTGAGGCTGTGACTCCTGGCTCTGTGGTTGTTGACTTGCCCCCGCACTATCCAGTCCATCTCCATGCTCCTCGGCTGGGCTTTGCTCTTCATCATCCAGACGTCTTCTTCCACGCCTAGCCGGACCGCTCAACAGCATTCCAGAAACCTTTCCAACTCTTTTGACCCGCATCGAGCTTGCTAAAACGGCATCTTCGCCATACCGATTGCGTCCTATGGTAGAAGCTCCATATCTTGAAACACTCCCTTGACTTGTTGCGAGATGTGACCTCGCGACCGTAGCGGGATGCTCTTGTGATTCCACTTCTTCATTCCGTGATGCAGAATCCGTCCTGTTTGAATTCCGCCCTGATGATCCAGCAGAGCGCCCATGATTCCCCGACGATGTTGTCGTAGAGATCCTAATAGTTCTAGGAATGTGTGCTGGCGTTGACAGGTCGAGCAGCGGAGTTCCTTCTCTTGCAGCATCTCGCTGTTCACTGTCACGCTGTACTTTGGACAGAGAGCTCGTCCTCCGCAAGCTTGAGGCACCACTCAGCCTTACAATTCGTTTGGTAGGATGTGGGCTGTGAACTTTGCTTTCAGGTGGTGGAGAGGTTATTTGATCCCGTGGTGCAACAAGAGAATCTAAGCTCCCAGACCTGACATGCGCAACTTCTACCTCTGAGTTATGTGCTATAGGCTTCACCGGAGATTGCTCCACTATCGAGGCTTCATCATTCAACAGTGCCTTAGTTAGAGCACTAAACTTCATTGGCAGAGGGATTTCATCGTCGGAACTGTCGTTGAGAGAATAGTGACGCGCCGCTGATTCTGGCACATACGGTTCCGCACGAGCATGCTGAGTTCGAGCTGGTAGTTGTCTATAAGGAAGTCGAGACGAAGATGGCTTTCGTGAGAGGGAGGCAAAATGGGAAGATCCCATAGGGGTCGGGGATGCCGTAGCCATGGAGGGAAGATTAATTGCAGGTCTGGTTCAGGTTAGGAGGATAAAAATAAATAGCGATTGCCACCCTCAGATATCAGTTTGCACGTCGTAATTGTCGTTTCCATACTCCAGTCACAAGTCAGCAGAGCAATTGAGTATCCATGAATATCGTTGAAAGATTTGTCGCGTTGTGAAGTTGGCGAGTGTTGGACGACGTCGAGGCTGATAAAATGATTGGTCCTCGAGGAGGTGTCAACAACGCTCAGACATAGCAACCGTTGCCAGGATGCACGGAATCCTCCCCCTCGAGACCCAATAATGAAGACTTCGGGTCCTCAGTCAAGGCAATAAATGTTGCAAAATGCTTGAAGCTTTATAAGGGATTTACCTTAAATTTCATTGCATGGAACGGATATATGTCGTGCGAGCTTTGACTTTCTATAGTATATATAGTATCGACTATTTTGCTATCGAAAAGCACCATTGAAACTGCTAGAAGACCGCCGGAATCCGATCTATTTAAAGGGAGCAAAAAATGATGCTAGCTCTGAACGCTCTTCATATATTGTGCTTTGGTGATAGCCTCACGGCCGGATTCACCAAATGGGGTGCAGTTTTTCATCCATACGCATGGAATATGTTAGACCAGCTTGAAGAAGCTTTCCCATTGACACAAATTTCAACAGATATCCAAGGCGCATCTGGAGACCAAGTTGTAAACGGATTTCTATACCGGATAGATGCATTGTGTAAGTTTCATTTCTCTGATTGAA